AAGACAGACAGAGTCTCTTCCTTTCCTTGATAAGGACACCGATCTCATCATAAAGGTGGACATTCATGACCTCATCTAAACCAAATTCTCTCCCAAGGGCCCCAGCCCCTAAGACCGTCACACTGGGGGTAGGGCTTCAGTGTATGCCTGTGGGAAGGACCCCCCACCCCCAGTATATGCTTTCAGCCCATAATACTTTCTAACTCTCACAATGCTCATGCTCAGTCATGTCTGACTGTGACCCGATGGAACACACCCTGCCAAGCTCCTCTGTCCTTGAGATTGTCCAGGCAAGAATACTGGAGTGGGTTGCCATTTCCTTCTCCAGGGGATCTTCCCGTACCAGGGACCAAGGCTTTACCACTGAGCTGCCAGGGAAGCCCTTTCTGACTCTACTCCTCCTCATCTGGAGGGATGTTAAATTAGAAGAAGATTCCAACACATGATCTGAAAGTCACTGGATGTTATTAGTCAAAGCACCGCATGTCTGGTCTGCTCTAAAAGATTGAGGCAAGGAGCCGAGTCCCTGGAAAAGACCCTGATGCCAGGAAAGATTGAGGGCAGGAGGAGAAGGGGGCGGGGATGAGATGATTGGATGGCTCCTCGGATGGATCACCGAGGATGTGAATTTGAGCAAACTCTGGGAGATAGTGGAGGACAAAGGAGGCTGATCTTCTACAGTCCATGGGGTTGCAAAGAGCCGGACACGACTTAGCAACCAAACTACAAGAGACTGATAAAAAGCAGAGATCCTGAGGCCAGGGCAGAGAGCAAATGTAATTTTTTGGAGGTTGTAGGAAATACCAAGGAGATGGGATGGGGATTCTCTATAGTCGTGTTTGAGAGCTCATTTAAGGGAGATTGTATCTGATCATTTTCTCTCCCAAGCGAGAGCATTGTTTTATTTAAGCCAAATTTGCTGCATATGAGATGCAGCGAGCTTGCTGAATATTCATTTGCAGCTCTGTTCATCAAGTTTATAATTCCTTTTATTTTCCTTTGACTTATAATTGGTGTTTTTGCATATTTATGATCTGTTTGTTTTAAGCTGAGGACCTGTTTTAAATTCTGTGATGCCTTTCTCCCCCAGCCCTGGGCAGTTCACTCACAGAGAAACCATGGCTTTGAGGGATGAGGCTTCCCCAGTACCAGAAGCCTCACCCCACTCTCAGCTGGCATAGACGCCGACTGCTGACCTCTGTGAACCCTGAGGTTCGCTGCCCTGAACCTGAGATAAGAATGAGAGTACTGAGCAATTTTAAAACTCTTTAAAACAGTCACAGAGGACCTGAATGGTCACCAAATCCTTGTGATAATTTTTCAGATGTTTGAAGACAGTGAGCCCCCTTCCTTAAATGTCCTTTTCCCAGGTGAAATAACCCTGCATGGGAATTAAAGACACAGACGTAGATAAAATAGATTAACTAATGAGAACCTACTGAATGGGACGGGGGACTCTACTCAGTACTCTGTGCTGACTTACATGGGAAGGGAATCCAAAGAAATGGGGATATGTCTATGCATATAGCTGATTCGGGCTGCCCAGGTAGCTCAGTGGTCAAGAATCCGCCTGCCAATGGAGAAGACGTGGGTTCGATCCCTGGGTCGGGAAGATCCCCTGGAAGAGGAAATGGCAGCCCACTACAGTACTCTTGCCTGCAGAATCCCATGGACAGATGAGCCTGGTGGGCTACAGTCTGTGGAATCTAAGAAGCGGACACAACTTAGCAACTAAACAGCAACAAATAGCTAATTCACTTTGCTGTGCGGCAGAAGCTAACACAACACTGTAAAGCAGCCTTACTCCAATAAAAGTTAATTTATCAGAAAGGAAGAACACTGCTCAGCTCATTCTTCTTTGGTCACCTGACCCAGTTAGGAACAGCCTCACTTCTGTTACTTTCCTCTGAGAGTACATGGACGCACCGACAACTCCAGCATCACAATCAGGTGCTCCGTGGACCACAGTGTGGTCTCCAAACTGCAGCCACTTAAAAGGACCTTAAATGATGGAGGCGCTTTATAGCATCAAATGCAAATGCTCTGTAAAGGAAACCCATGTTAGCTGCTTTCAGTGCTTACACAGGTCTCTTTGGAAATTCTTCAGAATCACCTTCCCCGCACCCAAGTAGAGAGTTGAATTGCGTTGGGTGAACCTGTGCTGACTCGTTTCCTGGGGCCATGTTTTATTTAAGCCAAATTCGGTCTTATGGCAATAGTCCAGGGCAATCCTTGAGAGCCTTCAGGAGCCTACCCTCCGGTCTCTGAATATGTTAGAACTTTGTTTCTTCACCTATAAGATGAAGTAACAAGAGGGGCCACCCGCCTGGGTGTTTTACTTTATGGACTCTTGCAAGGATGAAATGAGGTATGTTTGTAAGATCAATGATGATACTATGAAAGAACAGAACCAGTTTGCTGGTAGATACCAGCCTTCCCACCAGCACAGGACTGGTGGTTTATGCATCTCCTGAGAATCACAGACAAGTGCTGATGACTCCTGCCCTACGCACATCAAGTGACGACCGGGAGGTGGAAAGCGACAGAGGACCTGGCCTCTGTAACGAGTGTGTGGGGTCCAGTTTGCACAGACTCTGGAGCATGGGTCACGCTCCATCTCAAGGCCTAGTTTGCATCTTCAGGGAAAACCCAGACTGCTGTTATTACCTTAAGCAATTTATTTTCTTCATGACATCCCTTGAGAGGCCAAGTTTCCCCTCCTATGAAGCAATCAGATCAAAGAAGGCATCAAGACAGTATGATGTTATGAAATAAATCCAACATTGTGGAAATAGGATTGTTTTACTGTGTCTTCTGCTTAACAGTCTTCTAGGAAACAAAATGCTGTGATATTAGTTTTGAAAAGAAAATCTCAACTGCATCACTTCCTTGTGCCCTAGGTTTCCTAGAGTCATAATATGAATGCCCCCTTTTGAAAGAAAAATGCTCTGGGACATCAATCACATTTGTAAATGTGTGTAGTTATTAAAATACCAGGACTAATTCTATTAACCTTAGAATACGGTACTTTGGGATGAAAGCAGGTATCAGGAAAATGCTTGTAATTTGATTAAATTTTCCATCAGAAGAGAAATGCCATAACTACTTGGCATTAAAATGCTTAGCTGTTTATTTTTAAGCATTTCCTTTGCATATCTGAATAAAAGTCCATAAATGCATTCTTTCCGGTTATCTGTAGCCATGGAGGGTTGGAATTGCATGTTGCTTGAAGCAATGCCACATCCATTGCCCAGACTGATGAACAAATGACCAAAAGAAGGCTTTCCCTAAGAACCTTGACATCGCAAAGCTGCCAGGGCGCTGGGTCAGGCCTACAGTGTGGTAACAGAGACACCCCTTTCATACTCCCTGCTAGGGGAGCCCAGGGCACTGAGGACGGCTTCCTTCAATTCCGTTGCTTCCATTTAGTTCTTATTTTGGAAGAACTGACTTCCTAAAATGTTTGCATCTTTGTTTGATGGCATTTTTAAGGAAAAAAAAGGAAGAAGCCCTCATAGATAAGCATGGTTATTATTATTTCCGCTGCACCCAATAAGGAGAGAGACAGTTCTTCTAATTCTGGGCCATCTGGTTTGTGTTAGAGCTTCTTGTTCCTGCATTCTTTGGCTTACTGTTCTTCAAAGCAAACCCAGCAGTGACACAGTTTGCAGAATCTTTAGTGAAGTAAGAGATGGTCCTTTTGCAGAAGCAAAGGGTGACAGGGCCAAAGTAAGATCAGATCGTGTGGACAGTTGAGTGTTCTTCCTGGGCAGGACAATTATAGGTTGTTTTCAATTTTTCTATATTTTCTGTTTCCCCCCAAATTTTTGTGATCCTGAATTGTTTTTATCAACAGAGGAACAAGTGATGTTCTTTAAAAGGTTCCTATATTCTTACATAAATACTCGATAGTGGGGAATATCCCTTCTCTAGGGTCACTGAACACAGGTTCCATGTGATGACAGTCCATATCAGTCACCTGTTGGTGCCACAATAACGCTGTGTAAGAACCATGAAATCTCAGTGCCCACAGTAGTGGACTATGGGTTGGCTGCCTGTCTCTGTTCCAAGGGTACCTCATCTTCCTGGGACCAGTGGGCTGGTCAGGTCATGTTCTTCCCCTGATGAGATACAAAAGAGGCACCCCAAACATGCCAGACCTTCCCAACCTGGGCTGGATCTGGCTCTCAGTTACTCCCACCCACATTGCATTAGCTGTGGCAGATCACATTTATTGTTGTTCAGTCACTCAATCATGTCCAACTCTTTGCAACCCCAGGGACTGCAGCACGCTAGGCCACCCTGTCCATCACCAATTCCCGGAGTCCACCCAAACTCATATCCATCCTGTCGGTGATGCCATCCAACCATTTCATCCTCTGTCGTCCCTTTCTCCTCCCGCTTTCAATCTTTCCAAGCATCAGGGTCTTTTCTAATGAGTCAGATCTTTGCACCAGGTAGCCAAAGTATTGGAGTTTCAGCTTCAGCATCAGTCCTTCCAATGAATATTCAGGATTCATTCCCTTTGGGATTGAGTGGTTGGATCTCCTTGCGGTCCAAGGGACTCTCAAGAGTCTTCAATACCACAGTTCAAAAGCATCAATTCTTCAGAGCTCAGCCTTCTTCATGGTCCAACTCTCACATCCATACACGACTTACTGGAAAAACCATAGCTTTGAATATATGGACCTTTGTCGGCAAAGTAATGTCTCTGCTTTTTAATATGCTGTCTAGGTTTGTCATAGCTTTTCTTCTAAGTGGATCACATGGCCGAGCCCAAAGATAAGGGAGGACAGCAAAATCACCCGTGAGAGGGCACGGATCCAAGAAGCAGATGGGATCCATTTTTGTTAAGTAAATAAAAATGTTAGTTTTGGTACAGAAATAAAATTAACCTTGGGCAGAGTCATCTCTTTGGAGACTGTTGCCCATGTACCTTGTGTTGTTGTGTTCGTGAACGATAAATGCTCACCCTATTGAGTGGTTCCTTGTGTCCTCAGATCCTGGCCAATGTGATCATCTTCATCTGTGGGAACCTGGCGGGGGCGTACCATAAGCACCTCATGGAGCTTGCCCTGCAGCAGACGTATCAGGACACGTGCAACTGCATCAAGTCCCGGATCAAGTTGGAATTTGAAAAACGTCAACAGGTAAAATACATGTTCGGTCTTACTCCCACATTATCTGAGATGTTATTGGAATGATGTTGTCACTGCTAATGGCAAGGGTGCTCACAGGCATCCACTCAGGCATCAGCAGGAAACCAGGGTAGCCAGCCGTCTGGTCATCCTGCCCGCCCAGCTTTGGGCTGTATGCCCAGTGGATTGAATCATAAACCAAAGAGCAGAAATGGCATCTTCAGACTCAAACCCAGCCCCCACCCCCAGGATCACCCACATGCTGACAGCTACATCAGCCACCATCCACACATGGCTGGGGAAATTCAAATAATAATGATAATGATGATTGTTATAGTGACACTTGGTTAAGACACTCACTGTTGGTTACAGTACATTTGTCTGTGATAGTGTTTGTGGGCAGGGTTTGTCCCAGCTGAAATCTGCCTGTGCCATCAACAACACTTCGTATAGTGCCTGTTTTCCACCTGGGATGTTGAAATGGGATGAGATGATTAAATGAGATGAGATGCTTGAACTTGTCTTTGAGAGAGATGATTGGAGTTGGGGGGGAGGATCTGGTAGGGAACTAGTTGTGATGTCAGGGGCTGTCCTACAGTCATTGCTGTGGGTGATACGTGGACACATACATTAGGAGAATACACAGGCTCTGATGACACTGTAAAAATAAGAAATGGAGATAAATCAGGGCTGTAAGGAGCAAAGCCATGTGGTCTCCTCCAGGGTGGTGGCCAGCAGATGAAGCAGGCATGCTTTGGAGGGGAAACCAAGCAGGGGTCCTGTACTTGACACGTTTAACTTCAGGTCTCAGCAGAATATCCACGTGAAAAGTTTTCTTTTTGCCCTTGAGTTTTCAAATTTATCAGCAGGAATCCAGTTTCCATCTCTAAAGATGATGGTTAGCATGACTCTCTAGCGTGAAACCCACAGTCCCTTCTCTGAGTGCATTCATCAGTATTTGGCACATAATTGTGTCACTATCATTCGTTAAATTGTATTTAGTCCATTTTATATAATTTCATTAAAATGTATTATGGTGGTGAGAGCAAAAAGAAATCCCTTAGATACTGATACTAGACTTCTATTTGTGTATGAACGGATGAATAGTAATTGTACTCCTTTTTGAAAACAGGGAGTTCTGTTTGTTCATCCAATAAATATTAATTGAGCACCTAGATTGTGGAGGGCATGAATCTAGGTATTGGAGTCTGGCTGGAAATATTGCTTTCTCACTGATATTAGCAAATCTCATGGTTTGTTTACTTTGGTCTCTATGTATATCAAATTCTGGATTGCATTAAGAGAAATAGACAGTTGTTAACATGGGACAGTTAACCAGTACCACTTCATATACTGTGCACTTATCCATGTTCAGTAGTGGTTCAAATCTAGGTTCTAGAAAATTCTGTAGTTTCAACACACAGTGCTTAGTGTTCACAATTGTTCCCTCTACAGAGTTCAAGTGTTTTAGGTAGACAGTTTCTCTTTCAAACAGTGGTGACAGGATAAGTTTGGTCCTGCCAGTCATATTTAACTTTCTTTTCCATCACCTTCACCAAGGTTAGGAAGAACTGAAATTCCAAGTCAGCGGATTACATAACCTAATATTTATAGTACCAGTTTGACAGAACACTAAGTCAGGCTGTTGACCTTTTCTATACTGCCTCTTTCCATGAAGAGACCTTGAGCGGCCAAGAGCAGGTGTCATCCCTTGTCATGTTGATCTGTGGGTCTATGTGGTCAGAAAGGCCATGATCTGACCTTATGTGGCTCCAGAACTAGACCAGTGAGGCACATCTCATGTTACAGGCTTTATGGGACCATCGCAGGAGATACTATTAGGGCATCTATTTACAAATTCTGGAAAAAGAGTCAAGGATCTTTTTTTAAATATGTAAGGAGAAAAGGGACACTTGAAGAAAAAGAAGAACTTATACTTTGTTGTTGTTGTTGAGTCACTAAGTTGTGTCCAACTCTTTGCAACCCCATGGACTGGAACGCCCCAGGCCTCCCCATCCCTCACTATCTCTTGAAGTTTGCCCAAGTTCATGTCCACTGAGTCTGTGATGCTATCCGACCATCTCATCCTCTGCCACCCTCTTCTCCTTTTGCCCTCAGTCATTCCCAGCATCCGGGTATTTTCCAACGAGTCAGCTGTTTGCATCAGGCAGCCAAAGTATTGGAGGTTTAGCCTCAGCATCAGTCCTTCCAGTGATGTTTATTTAATAAAATATAATTTGACACAATGTATGAATTTTGCTACCAAAGTTGGGAGTCAACTCTCAGGGTCTGAGGCCCAGAATGCAGTACTTTTGTTGAGATTTTGGAAAATATGCTTCACCCCCTGCCACGCTTAGACCTTGGGGAAGAGGGCAGATGTCCTGTGAGTCCAGGATAACCCCCGCTAGGGGTTATCAGCAGATAGTTGACATTACTGGGAAGGGTCTAGGGATTCTGCAGTCTTTTCAAAATTGCTCAGCTCTGTACTTTCTTTTCTTCAGATTTTGTGCTTTTTTTTCCCCCAGATGCAAATGAGGAAAATCTAGTGATCAAAACCATTTTTGAACAACATGGCTATTTGTACTCTGAGATTTGAGGAGAAGAAGGAATGAAAAATGTTGGCAGAGATTTTCTCAGTCTTTGTGTTCTTGCCCTAAAAATGCCCTCATGGATAAACACTATTTTTTTTTTCTTAGTAAGTGAGAAGCTTAATGCTCTCAATTAGTATTGAAGCCGGCTTTGGGGCCTGAAAGTGGTGTGTTTTGACTTTTGTCTTAAGTTTCACATCCTGCAGTAAAAGTCATTTCTTGTGCACCATGTCAGTGCAATAGAGGCTCTTTATCAAACCTAAGTCAACAGAGGTGTTTCTCCCTGGAGTATGTAATAGACACTCAGGAATTGATGAGAGCTGGAGTCAGGGCAAAACAGAAGCCCTCTCTCTTAACTGCCAGGGCAGTGGAAATAAATGTGCCCTCTGTGGGACTGAAAACTAAGTTTGCTTTTTTTATAGAGAGAAAATAAACACTCTTCAACTTATATGTTGTCTTTGTTTTCAAGTGATGTAATTGTGAGAATCTTTATGTGGCCTGCCTTCTTCTGGAAACGCCCTGTGGACTGAATGTGATACAATATGGCTCAGTGGAGAATGCTAGTCAAGTGAGGTGGGGACACTGTGTTTTTCCTGAATCTGTTCCCCACTGTGGGGGCTTAGTGAACCAGTAGGCTTCCTGTGTTTCCTTGGGGGCAAAATTGTGCAGCTTTCAGTGGAACAAGCAAGTGGTCCTTTTGTGTTCATGGTTGGATAGATAAAAAACGTACCCATCTTTATCCTGATATGATAGCCGGTAATATTAGGGCATTACCAGATGTAGTGCATAAATCATTTAAAATGCTAGGTAGAGTGTGTTGGAGTTGTTTCAGGTTTGGGATGCTAAACTGTGGTCCCTTTTCCTGAGGGAATGGAGAAAAGAAGGAATGGCATTTGTTTGAGTCCTCTTAATGTGCCAGGCTGTCTATTTAGTTCTTTCACATTAGTCTCAGTTTCCTATTGCTATTGTAACAAATGACCACAAGTCCAGTGGCTTAAACAGAACAAATTCAGTATTGTATAGTTCTAGAGATCAGAGGTTCAAAATCAGTCTCGTGAGTTCTGTCAAGGTACTGGCAGGCTGGAGTCCTGGAGGCTCTGAGAGCAGAATCCAGTTGCCTTTTCAAGCTTCTAGAGATTTCCTGCATCCTTGGATCCAAGCCGCTTCCTCCATCCTCAAATTCAGCAGCACAGATTCCAGTCTCTCTCTCCCCTCTCTCTGTGTCTCGTTTTTCTCTTCACCCCCTTCTCAGATCTCTGATTGTGCTCTTGCATCTTCTCCCTACTCTCATTATCCCTCCTGCCTCCCCGCCATATGGATAATCCAGGAAAATCTCCCCATCTCAAGGTCCTTAATTTAATTGTATCTTCGAAGTTCTGGGTTTGTGGTGTAAGGTAACATAGTCACGGGTTCTGGGGATTATTAGTCGAACAGGGTGCTTTTTACAGGTCCATTGTTCAGCCAACCAGCCCATCTTCTTAATATACTTATGAACTCTATGACTTAAGTCTCTTTTCCCACTTAAGTCAAAGTAACTGTCAAGTTACTTGTCCAAGACCACTCAGCTCTTAAGTGTGGATATTTCTGCCTCTCATGTTGGTTCTGCCTAAGGTTTTTGGAGTTATCTTTGAGAATAGAGATTTTTCTTAGCCATGAAGGACTTTTTAAGTTGACTATGTTGCTTACCATTACTAGTTACATAAGAAAGCATAAAACATCATCAAACACTTATCCGAAATCATTAGGTTATGTATTACCATGGTAAGCACCATATTGCCCATGAGAATGTTAGAAATTCACATGAAAGATCATTCCCACAAGAAGCCACAGTGTTAAATCTGTCTGTGACTGGATTTCTATTCTGTGGTGGACCCTGTAGGGAGACCACCTGAGTTGAATCCTGGTTACATTTTCTTTTTGTATGACCTTGGTCAAATTCCCTCACTTCTCCATGTCTTAGTTCCTCTGATGGAAGTTGTTCTGCTTAATTTCTTACCAAATTTCAGAGTCTTTCTAGCATTCAAAATGGTGTCCTGTTAAGAAAGTGATCATGAGCTGGTCTTGCATTGAATTATCATGACATAATACCCTCTGTTCAGTTCAGTCCAGCTGCTCAGTCGTGTCCAACTCTTGGTCACTACATGGACTATAGCACGCCAGGCCTCCCTGTCCATCACCAACTCCTGGAATTTACCCAAACGCATGTCCATTGAGTCGGTGATACCATCCAACCATCTCATCCTCTCTCGTCCCTGTCTCTCCCCGCCTTCAATCTTTCCTAGCATCAGGATTTTTTCAAATGAGTCAGCTCTCCACATCAGGTGGCCAAAGTATTGGAGCTTCAGCTTCAGCATCAGTCCTTCCAGTGAATATTGAGGACTGATTTCCTTTAGGATGGACTGGTTTGACTTCCTTGCAGTTCAA